CCACCAGGATTTGTTTACGTGGCTAAATCCCGCAAGTCCGGCCGCGGAGGAGGTCACGCAATAATTCACCGCGAGAACTGAAAGGTTTTGCCGGTTCACACACCTCTTTTCACCTCCTTTGAGCAGACTGTGTTTCTACTTTCTGGCCCTACCCCCACCATTGTTGCCACTATCTACCACCCTCCTAAAAAACAATTATTTTTTACATGACCTTACTGCTCTACTCACCCCTCTCACAGCTCTTTCACCAAACTTCATCTTGCTGGGAGACTTCAACATTCATATGGGTGAAGACAACAACCCTCTCCCTGCCTTGACAGCTGTGGCCTCCAGCAATTCATCAACTTTCCCACCCACATCACAACTTGGACTTGCTGCTTAGGACTCACTCCTCTTAACTGTACCTCTGCTGAACTTCCATTTACTAACCGTGTTTCCATCAAGGCTTTTTGATGCGCATTTAGAAGTGTCGCATTAAAAATGCGAAAAAAAAAAGTCGGATGGAAACAGCAAAAATCGAAAAATCCTCAATTTGCTAAAAAGTTTTTACGCTCGCTTGAGGTGGTTTTTGGGTTTTTCGAAAAACACTTAATGCGCAAAAGGAGACATGGAAACACTTGCCGAATAAGTTGTGACGTAGCGAACATTTACCTCACGTAGCTGATCAGCTGTTCCACAGTACCAGTACCAGTTTCGGGTCGGCTGCAGCTGCGACTGGCAGCAGAACCCTCCTCCCACTGTTTGCGTCTTCTCAGTAATCCCGTAACTTGAAGAAAATTGCATTCACTTGTCGAACTCCCCTCACCCCCGTCAACTTCTCTGTCTTTTCCCTCCCCCTTGCTGCTGACATCTCTGATATCATTAGCAAGTCTAAGCCCTCATCCTGCCAGCTCGATCCATTTCCCACTGCTCTTGTTAAATCCTGCCTCCCGTCTCTGCTCCCTATCATCACCAGCATTATCCACTCCTCCTTAACCTCTGGTATTGTTCCCACAGCTTTTAAATCTGCAGCCATTACCCCCATCATAAAGAAACCCGGTCTCGACCTAAGTAACTTTAGTAATCTTTGTCCCATCTCTAACCTGCCCTTCATCTCCAAGATTCTGTAAAATTTTTATTGCCAGTCAACTCCACTCTCACCTTTCCAGCAATAATCTTTATAAGGAGTTTCAATCTGGTTTTCGCCCCCACCACAGCACCGAAACCGCCCTCATAAAAATCACCAACGATCTTCTCCTTGCTGCCGACACTAGTCTCTTGGCCATCCTCATCCTCCTTGACCTAAGTGCTGCTTTTGATATAATCTCTCATTCTATTCTCCTCAACAGACTCGCATCCATTGGCATCTCAGGTACTGCGTTTGACTGGTTCAAATTTTATCTTTCTGACCGTACTCAATTCATCTAGATAAAACCCTTCCACTCTGAGTCATCCCCCGTCTCCAGTGGCATGCCCCAAGGCTTTGTCCTTGGACCCCTTCTCTTCATTACTTACCTCCTTCCTCTTGGTTACATTTTCCGCGAGTTTGGTGTACGTTTCCCTTGTTATGCCGATGACATACAGCTCTACCTGTCAACCAAGCCAAACTCTCCACACCCTTCCTCCATTCTCACTGATGGTCTCACTGCACTCATTCACTGGTTTTCAGACAATTTCCTTCAGCTGAATAGCGATGAAACAGAAATCATCCTTGTCAGCACTAAAAATTCCATCTCTGAATCTAATAATCTCCTCATCCCTATCAACAACACTCTGCTAAGCCCCTCCCCTCAGGTCAAGGGTCTTGGTGTCATCCTCGACACCACTCTCTCCTTCACTGGTCACATCAATAATGTTACTCGGTCTGCCTACTTCCACCTCAGAAATATCAACCGTCTCCGTCCTTCTCTCACACCCCGCACCACAGCCATCCTTGTTCAAAGTCTTGTGACCTCACGGATTGATTATTGCAACTCTCTTCTCTTTGGCCTCCCCAACAAATCCCTCCATAAGCTTCAGATGGTGCAGAACTCAGCTGCACGTGTCATCACCCAAACCTCCTCCCATAACCACATCACTCCAGTCCTGCAGCAGCTCCACTGGCTCCCGGTCAAATCACACATCGTCTTCAAAACTCTTCTTCTCACGTTCAAAGCTATCCACCATCTTGCCCCTCCTTACGTGTCCGACCTCGTACACATCTCCCTCCCCTCCCGTTCTCTCAGATCCTCTTCTTCCCTAAACCTCCAAGTACCCACTGCCCACCTCTCCACCACGGGAAGAAGGACCTTCACCTGCTCGGCACCTCTCTTCAGGAACTCTCTACCATCTGACCTAAGAAACACCACCTCTCTTCCTGTGTTCAAGACTGCTTTGAAAACACATCTCTTTAGATTAGCATATCCATCTTCACTTCATTTGTAAACAATTCTCTGTAACTTATGCCTGCTTGTCTCTAACTGTATTTTCACACATTCTCCTATGATGAACACTGTAAGTGTTCTTGGGTGTCCTGAAAGGCGCTTTTCAAATAAAATGATTATTATTATTATTATTATTATTATTATTAAAATATTGCCTCCAGGCCATGTGCCTTTCTGTGTAGAGTTTAAACTTTGTCCCTGTAGACTCGTGGGCTTTCTCCAAGTACTCTTATTTCCGCCCTCAGACCAAAAAATATGCTTGTTAGGTTAACTGGTAGCCCTGAGCTTTGTGTGAGTGAGAGTGTTAATGGTTGTTTGTCTTGTCGTCGCAAAAAGCAGAAACACGTTGGAATAAAACCAGAAAAGTCTGCGTATATGATAATCAAATATGGTTTAAATATGAGCAACAAACAAACAGAACTGAATCAGGAAGGTTCTGCATGATTGTGACTGACCTCGTCAGCAGACTACAGCCAATAATATAACATCATGTCAACACCATGTGACAGTTTACAACCAATCACAGATAGCCAAAAATACTGTCCAGCCTATCACAGGGCTCCCAGCCCAAAGAGTCTGTTATCAACCAAGAGAGTTCAGTTCGTTGCGGAGTCTTGACATCCGGAAACGAACAGAGAGAGCGAAATGAGCTATCAGAAAGATACGAGTGATGGACAGTGTCAAGGTGAAACAGATATAAATAATTAGTCCATGACAGTCTCATTTTACTTTGTGTGTTCCTGTGATGGACTTGCGATCTGTCTAGAGCAGAGGAGCCCAAAGTGGGGCCCGTGGGCCAAATCTGGCCCACCAAGCCATTTGATTTGGCCCACCAGCAGTTGACATTGTTAATAGGTTGTAACCTGTCATCCTATGTAGAAAAAATATTTCCACTTTGTCATTTTATCCACTGGCCCATTGACTATATAAGGGGCTGTAGTACAGATAGTTTTCACTCATGATTCTGACTTTATCTTTGATATATTAAGATTAAATATGAAATGTGAAATACAAGTAAAAAGTGATATTTAGATTAGATTTAACCATACATGTAGATTTGCACACTTTATAAGGCCAGAAAAACTCATATTTTATCAAATTATGAAATTTCCCATGAGCCTTTGCTACTTGAGCGTATGGCAGACTTTCTCCAAGTGCCCAGACTAAAACAAAAGCAGGCCAACACACTGGCTACTAGCTTTATTGTTACAAAATCAAGGACTTTACTAAAATAGTATTTGTATTTCATGTATTATATTACTGCATTTGGCCCGCAGCCCCGGATAGATTCTCATTTTGGCCCTCTTGGGGAAAATGTTTAGGCACCCCTGGTCTAGAGTGTACGCCACCTTTCCCACAGTAACTGCTAGAGATAGGCAACATTTTCGCAACAACCCAGAAAGGAAAAATGTTTGTATAGACAAATGGACGGATGTCTGATGGTCTGATCAAAATAAATTTAACTCTTTGGCCATAATGGTCATTGTTACATATCGAGGAAAAAAGCAGAAGTTTGCAAGCCTGAGAACACCATCTTAACAGGGGGGACTGGTACATTCCACAGAATAGATGGCATCATAACGTAAGAGCATTCTGTGGAAATATTGAAGCAACATCACAAGACATCAGCCAGGAAGTTAAAGCATGGGCACAAATGAAATGGACCATGAGCCTCAGCAGATCAGTTACAAATTGGCTGAAAAACAACAGTCATTGTTTTGGAACAGCCATCACAAAGTCCTGACCTCAACCCAAAAAAAACATTTGTGTGCAAGTATGAAAGACGCATGTGTGAACAAGCCTGCAAATCTGACTCAGTTCCACCAGTTCTGTCAGGAGGAATGGGACAAAATTCCAACAAACTACTCTAAGAAGCTTTGGAAATACAGTAGTTCTACATTATATGGGTAAACTTGAGAAATAAGAAAAAAAAATCCTTCTCATCATTTGGGCATTTAGCAATTGTAAATAATATTGGGCATTCTAACTGACCTACATAAAAGAGGAAAGGTTTCATTTGATTGAATTTGGACACTGAGAAATAAAGTGTATTTTTATACAGTGTATATAAACATCAACAACAGCTTTTTTAGAACCAACCCAGTTCAGTATAGACACTTCATATAAGCAACCATAGAAAACAGCCAGTGTTACAGATATTGAGCCCAAATTTTTGTGGTAGTGTCTGATAGTCATTTACAATAAATACTCTGAGCGCAAGTTCTTATAAATCTTTTTTTTTGTGAAGTTATGACCATACAACATGTTTATTTGTTTAGTTTTGTTTTTTCAACAGTGCCCTTCTGCATGGGTTGTCAAAGTGAGAAAATGTTCACTAAGGCAGTTGTTTGATACCAGATGACCAAATTGCTTGTCATTTTTCAACATAAGACAATCTTTGTTTAGAACTGTTTCCTGTAAGGTATCAGGTGGTGTCCAAACCTTCAAGAAAAGTTAGGCCTTTAAGATGTTTCTGTTATAAATCTTGTTTTTCCTTCTTACATGTCAGCTCTTAGCCTTGCAGTTTTATTTCAGAGCCGAGTCTTTCTACTCATAGTTTTCTCTTCTTCTTTTGTTTGTTCCTCTTCCACTTCGCAGTGAGCAGCCTATCTTCAGCACACGGGCCCACGTCTTCCAGATTGACCCAACCACCAAAAAGAACTGGGTTCCCACAAGTAAACATGCCGTCACTGTCTCCTACTTTTTTGACAGTACCAGGAACGTATATCGAATCATCAGTCTGGATGGCTCCAAGGTAAGTGCAGGAACAGCATCATTTTTACTGTTATACGTATAACAGTCAATTTACTATAATGCAGTAGTTGGAGGATGATATTTTGAGTTGGCTTTTTGAAAGGGAAGTGTTTATGATGGTAAAAATGATAAAAAACATTGTATTCTGTGTATAAAATTAATATTAATAATTTGTTTTCAAGCCTGAGATCACCATCCTACCAATTAGTACTTGGTATTGATAAATATGTTGTCATAATAGTGTCATTTAGGCCTGTATGGGCTGGGCAGGATTGTGCATGACACTTCAATAAAGATTTCATTCATTCATTCAATTACATTGTGTGAGCACACTTTGAATGAGGAAAGGTAAAAGCCTGAGTAACTTCACTTACAGTTTACTTTTTTCAGTGTTGGTTGCCAGTAGAGCTGCTGTTGAGAGGTCCTGCATCTGGGATTGACATGGTCTGCTGATGAGACTTCAGAACATTTGCAGAAACAAGAGGTCCAGAATGTGTTCAACACACATTAAGCAGCTTTTTAGCACTATCCGATCATAATCAAATAGTTAAAGTTGAAAGTTGGCGACAGATGTGAACATTTTATTGTTTCAAAATGAATTAAAGGCTTTGTATTTCTTGAAATAATATTTTTTGCAGGGTTTTAACTCATCTTATGATGAGAACTGACAGTGTTGTCAGACCTTGAAAATAACATGCAAAGTTTTATGCAATTTTGCTAAATCTTTCATTATCAGTTAACGACTGGAGTATTAAAGTAAAGTATTGTGAATGATTGCCTCTTACTACTGCACCAGATTTTAACTACTTACAGTTCACTGAGGTTTAGCTATTTTTGTGCAGGCTAAAGCTGATTAGTTGAATTCAAAAGTTATTAAGTTGTACAATAGGTTGCCTTCATGCAGGTCCAGGCCTCCCTTGAAAAAGAGATCAGCGATCTCAGTGGGACTTGCCTGGTAAAATAACGGTAAATAAATAAATAAAATAAATAAATAGTAGATTACGTCCAATAATTATTTTCGGAGAGTTTCATTAAAATTTGTCCCGAGGTTCACAGGTTGATGAAAAGAATCCGAAACATTTGGATCTTGGTATTTTCACTGGACCTGGCCTCTCTGTTGGAACAGTGAAGGGCCTCACCTCTCAGATGAATGTGTCAGAGATTATTTTAGGTGCTGGGCTGGAGTTCGCACAGTTATATAAGAACATCTCTGGCTGACTGGTGCTGTTGTTGAACCAGCAAGTGAGCTGCATTCTGTTGAAAACAGCAGCGAGCGGGTGGGCTGGTGCTGGAGGACTTTATCCCTCAGACAGTCCTGTCAGCAGAGACCACTGCGGGAAAGCCAGAGTGAGAAAGCTGTTGTTTGTTAAAGAATAACTTTCCCAGTAGATAAAAAACTTATAAGAAGTGTTCAAATTTAGTTTTTTGTTTAACTGTTGTAGCAAAAGTGTATAAAGAATTTGAGGTCTTTTACTTGTATATATTATGTATCTTATTTATATTTGGGGTCCAAGCGGCGGAGCAGGGTAAAGCAGCTGCAAAGCAGCAGCGCTTCCATGTCTTCCATGGAACCCTATTGTATCAGTTCCATTTTATTTTATTTTTTTTCTTCCATCGGTAAAACTCATACTGGAGCCCAAACCACAAGGGCTGTGAAGAAGATTTTACCAGGATAGTTAAATAGTGTTACGTGTACGGAGGAGAAAAATAATCTGATATGTCAACCTATTGGGGGGGGGGGGGCGCCATAATCAAGGTCTTTGCATTTGGTCCGCTGGTTTCTAAACCATAAGTCACAAAAATTTTTTTGACTAGCAACATAATCCCTAGACACCACTGAGTCACAGATATAGGCCATGCCCATTTACGCCTAAACTTTTTTTTCTACAGCACAAAATTTGCAAAAACTACTTTTGGCTTTGTTTTAAAGACTTAAAGTCCGATCACCACAAAACTCACCGTCCTTTATTGAGTTAGTATGTTGATTCTAAGTCTTGAAGGACAAATAAAAAATGTTAAATTGCATGAGTTATGCCTAGGCAAATAGCTTAGGCAAGCTAGCTAAACAGAAATTTTGCTATATCTTCAAAATAGTAGTACAAAATAAGATGAAAATCATGTATGTAGTACAAGTGCCAGTTCTAAGTTGGAGGACCAAATCTTCTATTATTGAGGCATAGGGGGCGCCATAAATCACAAAAAAATTTCACACAAAAATGGCTTATCGGATATTCCTACAATTTTGCATGGACCTACAGACCCTTGATTTGAACCTAAATTAGCAAGATCATTTTGCACAAATAAAGTGGGTGTGGGCTATACTTTCTTAAATGAAAAATTTCATTACATCATTTATGGAGCCTAAACCCTCAGAGGTTTTGAAAAGTTTTTCACAGCAAAAATAAAGCACACTATCTTCTATATAATCCTAAAAAACTGATTGAGTCCACCAATAGGTGGCGCTAGTGTGATAAGTGAAACATTTTCATCTGTAACTCCTGTACACTTAGCTCGATCATTAAAACCATTGTGGCATCGTAATTGTTCATTGGTACAGTAATTTTGATAAAATATACGTATGTTTGTTTAAAAAATGTATTGTTCTTTATGCAAGTTTGTATAATATGTTAAACCAGGGTTCGACAAGATTTTATTTTTTTACCTGCCCGGTTACCTGCCCGACATGAAAGTTACCTGCCTGAAACAAAAATGTTCAAATTTTGATAAAATAAGAAAAACGTGTCCTGTACTTTGTACTACAAAAATATTAACATGGTTATACAGAGGTACATAATACATATTACATCTGATTAAACAGATGCAAACATTTTAGACAGAGTTACTAACAGTCAATTGTATTATCAAGAACATCTTCAAAAAAGTGTTTCCCTTAGAGTACTGGCCTTGGTAGTGGGTTTATTTGGCGTATCAGAGCAATTTAAAAACTGAGGTAAAGTTTTTGTGCTCTACTTTTTACTAAAATTGAAGCAGTTAGATAAAATGTATTTTCTCGGTTAGAGTGACTTGGGTCATGAGACCAGGATGCAGTAGTGTGTGCAGGGACTCCAGAGATGTTAAAGAAGAGAAATTAAATTCAGCTGTTGTAAGACAGATAGTATGTGTCTGACTGGGAGCGGGCAGGTGGAACAGAGAGATTACAAGAAGCATAGGGCACATTTATGAGACCTCAAGTACTTAGATTCAACTATTCATGTAAATGTATGTTTAATAAAAGACAGGCGTCTAGCACAGTTACGGTACAAGTAGTCTATCCAGGAAAATTGGAAGTGTGGTAAAAAGGTACAGAAAGAGTCCCAGGAATTATAATAAAACATTACAGATGAACAACTAGGAGGTAATGTTAGAATGGCCAGATTAAGTTGGTTTGGACATGTCCAGAGGAGGCACAGTTGGTATAATGACTTATGAATGTTAATAATGGAGCTCCCAGGTGGCGGGGCAAGATGACGGAGGAGTGAGACGTGTGTCGCGTGGGCTCCCGCTCCGACTGTTCTGTTCGTGGTTCTCTACCGAATGTCCTTGCTGTTTTGAGCATTTGGTCTGTCTGCACTCGACCCCTGAGTGATTCTTGCCTGGAAGAGTAGAAGAATGGCGACAAACTTGAGGACAGGCAAACATTCAAGCTCGGCGGCTGTTGGGCCCGACACTGCCTCGGAGCAGGCTGCAGCTAAAGCCGGAGCTTCGGCGCCCTCCTCTCCCTCCCGCAGCGAGGTGGACACACTCTCCTTGAAGTCTGACATTCTTGCCGCTATAAAAACCGATCTCTCAGCTGTGATCAAATCCGAAATAAAAGCAGCTTTGGCTGAAGAGTTTACTGTTATTAAAGGGGAGCTACAAGCGGTGAGAGCTGAAGTGGCTAACGGCACGATGCCACTTCGTGCTGACTTAGACCACCTTAAACAGAGCGTAAAAGAGGTGGAGGACGGCTGTCAACCTGGTCCGATGAGATGGTTGCTCTGCGCACCACCATCCTGGAACTGAAAGAAGAAGTCGATGGACTCAAAAAGAAGTGTGACGATATGGAAGGGCGCATGAGAAGGTGCAATGTGCGGATTATTGGAGTTCCAGAGACGCCAGAATCCAGCTCCACTTCAGCAGTGGCTAAACTGCGAGCAGAGGTTTTACAGATGGATAAAGAGCCACTGGTTGACCGAGCCCATCGCTCTCCAGGTGGAAACAGGTCAGGCGATAAGCCGCGGGTTATTGTCGCTAAGCTGCACTATTATCATGAATGTGTGGAAATATTACGTTGAGTGCGGACCCGCGGCCATCTTCATTTTAAGGAGGCACCTATTATCATCACATCTGACTACACGGCGGCTGTGGCCAGGGCTCGAACGGCGTTTACGGAGGTGAGGAGGCTCCTTCGCAACCGACGAGATGTTCGCTACGGCCTGCTTTTTTCTGCACGGCTCCGCATCTCTCATGGGGAGGAAAACAAGGAGTTCCTGGATGCCAATAAAGCAATGGACTACGTTAAAAAGAAAATCATCTCGGCGACGGACAGCGAGGACCGGCGTTGACCGCAGGTCCAACTCTCATCGATCCATTATGACTGTCAGGTTGTAATGAACCTTCTAACTTTATGTCCCGCGCTATATCTTGATTTAATTTTAGACATTATTCTCAGGGACAACATTCCTCTTTTTGTTCTATGTACGAGAGTTTCACTGGGGTCTGTCCAGATCTTGGTTAGTGATTTAGTGGTTAGTGCTGCAAGGAGCATAAACAGTAATAATACTTTAAAGTAAGGGAACCCCTTTTTTATTTATTTTTTTGTTATTGTTATTTAGTTGTGGCGGGAGTCCAGGCAGGGAGTTAAGCCCCCCAGTATAAGCAAAAATGTGTGGATTTTTTGTTTGTTGGGTTCTCCGTGTTTTTTTTAGGAGTAAGGGGTGGGACTATACCGGATCTATTTGTTTTGAGAATGTCTTTTTCAGGTTATTTTTTGTGATGATTTGTGGATATTGTACTACAGTC